GTTTGAAGATGTATCATTCCTCATATAACTCTAAAAACCTCTAACCTCAAACACTCAGAAATAACATCTGATTTGAGCAGTAATACAAATAAAGTGTTTTTAGTAGAGGATTAAATASATTCTGCCCACTTTATATTTAAATATAAAGCAATTTATAATACTTATAAGTGAGGAAATATATTAACAACATKCATCTCCTGTAAGTCCGAACTGAAAAATAAGTTTGATGCTCTACTTACGCGCTCCGGAGAACAACACATCTGGAACAAAAAGCAGTAAAAACATGAAGAAAATCATAGTTCATGAGCTGTTTTTTTTTTTCCTTTTTAGTTTCCACACAGATGACTGRTGAAGTGGGACAAACTGAAGTGACTGCATGCAGTTTGAGGAAAGACGAGCTGAAAGTAGGACTCAGGTTCATCCTGTTTGCTCCTCCTTTGTTTTCCCACAGATTCTGACCACTCCCAGATACACCCCCCTCCCCACTGCCACACACACATACACATAAACCTTTGGGCCCTTTGTCGTTGGCGTCACCAGGGGGGCAACAATTCTTTTGCTTTCGGCTAGTCCCTTTGAAAGAGTGTCCAGTGAGCTCACCTCCTCTAYCTCACTCTGTCCTCTGTATCCTCTTACCTCACTCAGTCATGTCCTCCATTTGCATCCATATGTCTCCTTTTTGTCTTTTTGCATCTCTAACATCCTTCTACCAATACACTGTCCCTCCTCTGTACATGTCCAAACCCTCTCAGTCTGGTYTCTCTAACGTTATCTCTCAGTCCTTCAACCTGTGCTGTATCTCTGATGATCTCATTCCAAATCTTCTCCATCCTCGTCTCTCCCAAGGAGAACCTCATCATCTTCAACTCTGACACTTCCAGTTCTGTCTCCTGTCTTTTTGTCCATGTCTCTGTCTCCAAAGTGTACAGTGCAGCTGTCCTCACTGAGTCTCTTGTAAATCTTTCTTTTGACATTTGCTGACACCCTTTTGTCACAAATCACTCACGAACCTTTCCTCCATCCTGCCTGGACTCTCTTCTTCACCTCTTCACCACACTCCCTGTTTTTCTGAACAGTGGACCGACCCTAAGTCCTTGAAGTCCTGCATCTTTGTGACSTCTGTTGAGTGTTGGGCAGGGCTCTTCTGATGAAGCGTGGACCTGAGTAAGTGGTGTAGGCATGAACACACATGGACAAAGTTATTGGTACCCCTTGTTTAATGAAAGAAAAACCCACAATGGTCACTCACAGAAATAGCTTGAATCTGACAAAAGTAATAATAAATACAATTTCTATGAAAAYGAATAAATGAAAGTCAGACATTGCTTTTCCACCATGCTTCAACAGAATTAAAAAAATACTTGATCCCACTCCTCCCCTTTCAYATCAGGTGTGCCCCAGGGCTCTTGTCTTGAAGCCCTTTCATTTCACCACTTACTTTCTTCACCGTGGTAACATTTCTCATAAGTTCAACATCCATGTCCACTGCTTTGACATCCAGCTCTTCTTATCCACCCCACCACAGTCTTCACTTCCACCCACCTCCCTCACTTTCTGCTCAGCTGAAATCAAATCCTGGCTTATGTCAAACTTCCTTCCTTAAATTAAACGGTGACGTAACTGAGTTTCTACTTACTGCTACTWAAAATCCACCTTTTCCAAAGTCAACAATTTTTCACTTCCCATTGACAGCTCCTTGGTTCCTCCCTCCCCTCAGGTCAAGAGTCTAGGTGTTACACTTCACAGCAGTTGACTCTGYCCTTCCCTCTCTGCTACACTCTGTCTCCATGTGTTATTTCATGTTTAGATTATTATAACGCTCTCCTCTTTGGTCCGTATCATAAATCCCTCTGAAAACATATGGGTGTCTAATATTCAATTGTCTGCATCATCACCAAAACTCCCACATTTCACCACATCACCTCAATTCTTACAGCAACTCCACAGGTCCTGTTCAGAAGGACGATCTCACCCCTTCTTATCTGTCCAATGTCCTGTACATCACCACACATTTCTTTTCTCTCTATTCTTCCTTGTCTATCCWCCTAACTGTGCCCATTGTATGCATCAGTGGGAAACTCTGGAACTGTCTTCCTTTCAAACATCTGCAATACTGACTCTTTTCAGACCGTCAAATCCCAACTCAAAACTCATTTGATCAAGTCAGTCCTGTTATGTAATTTATTTGCCGTTTTTAGGTGTTATTTTTTCTGTGCTTTTTTATTGTGATTTTGTACCATGTTTTGTACTGAGATGCATCAGGACGTACCATGTTTTTTTTTAAATTTTGTTATGTGACCTTAGGCGTCTTGAAAGGTATGCATTATTATTATTATTATTATTATTAAAGTGTTTTATGTTTGCATTTCAAGCATTTCTGGGCACTCCGGTTTCCTCCCACAGACCATAAAAACGTGCACATTAGGTTTGTTGGTAACTCTATGAGTTGTGTAAGGTTTCTATATTGTAACAATGATWCTTCCCAATAAATCTTATAATTGGCATCGGATTGGCAACACTTGGGGTTATCAGAAGCTTAAAACAAGTGCCAAAACAGCAAAAATAAACTGCTGGGCATTTTTWATGTGCTCAACCCACAGCTGAATGTTCCTTACAAAAGTGGCACCAATTTAAAAGAGAATTTAACAGGATTTTTAATGTTATAATAGTTATTGCCAAGAAGTATTGTTACAACAAAGAAATAATCTGACAAAACAACCGTCCTTACTTTTTGTGCTAAATTTTATATAATAATTCATCACGACATCTGTGTCAGATTTACTGTAAACTGATTTTCCCATGTTGTATAGTATTTTGTGAATCCGCACTTTGCTCATCACTTTTGTTCTTTACGTGCTTTATAAATAAAGTTGTTTATATTAAATGTAAAGTGTGCACTAGCTAATAGTTGTGTCAAAAACACTGACAAACAGCTCTCTTGGGGTTATTAAACCTTTAAACTCAAATCATCTGATAATGATATCAGCAGATAACAATGTGTTGAAGCAGCATTAACTCTCTCCTTCACTTCAGTGAAAGTCTAGAGACACATTAGGCTACTTGGGCACTGCAGTGGAGAGACTGTGCAGAAGGGACGGCGCGTGCGTGCTTGGCGATGCTGATGATGCGCGTGACGCCACGAGCAGGAGCGGATCGGAAGCGCAGCAGACAGAGGAGCCGAGCAGCAGCAGCAGCAGCAGCAGCAGCAGCAGCAGCAGCAGCAGCAGCAGCAGCAGCAGCAGCAGCACAAAGGGAGCTCAGTGCAGGTCGAAGCCCCGGTGTTGTCTCCTCCTCCTCCTCCTTCTCCTCCTCCTCTCTCCAGCGTCTCGGATGCTCCGGTTCGGTCGCACCATGCGCGCCTCGCTCTCTGCCCTGCTCCCGGTGCTCCTGGCTGGACTCGCGGCCGCGTCTTCGGATSTATTCGACAACCAGCTGGGCGACATCAATTACTGCAAAAAGCAATGTSAGCTCACCATCAAAAACAAGAGTCCTGCTAAGGTGAGTTACTGATGTGGGAAACGAGGCTGGAGGGCACGGCGGTCTGCAGAAAGACGCATTATTATTATTGACTGCAAGTGCGCGCGCGCACACATAGACAGATGGGTAAATAGATCGATAGGTAGAAAATGTTTTTAATGTGTGAACGAGCATCCTAATGGCTGCGATGCAGCTGCAGCCTCACGTTCAGACGGAAAAGATGCAGCTCATCATTTCCCCCTTAAAGGAGCTGCATCCTCAGTCTGCAGYAAGAAATAATGGAGGATCTGCAGCGAGGCCATCATGAGTCAGGAGCAGCTTCTCTGCGCAGAGAAGAAGGCCAGAGGCTGGACGGAAGCAGGGCTGTGGGGCTGGTCATATGAGGGGATTTGATTACTTTCTGAAAGTTGATTATAGATGTAGAAAGTCTGATTTGTAGGGATGCCTTTAGTTCCACCCCTCCCTCCCTTCCACCCCCGCCTTCAGGTGTGGTTCAGACCATCCTGCAGACGACCCCCCACCCCCTCTGCTTGAGGATGATGGGGGGGAAACAAACAGCTCATGTTTATGTCGAGTTTAAGCTTTAATATAAAATTTGTTATGCAATGTGTAAGAATGCTTCATGGTTTTAGAATAAACACCATTATATTATATATTTGKAAAAAATAAATAAAATAAAAAAGCTGCAATACAAGCGTTCAAGGTATGTTTTGAACAGTTCTCACTGCGGCCACCAGAGGGTGCTGTTTTTCTCTTTCAAAGTTGAGCCCTGACGAGCTCCAGTGATGCTGCGCCTCYCTTCCCATCCCTTCCCCAGCCACCACATTACTCAACATAAGTTTAAAACGACTTGCTCATTACCACTGCTTTTCTTTGACAGCCCTGCCTATAAACTGTTTACAGCAGCCCATAATATGACAGCTGCACCGTGTCATTACAAGAAAAATGCTGTGACACGTCTGTGTTGTGTTTCTAAACACGGTTATGTAGAGTTTGTCTAAGAATACAGGAGACACTTCTATTTTGGTGACCCCCCCCTTCTTCCCCTGTGCTCCCCGACTGTCTGTTAGGACTCCATAATGAACGCCTGTCACCGCGGCTGTCGCCTCTACTCCATCTGCCAGTTTGTCAATGGGAACGCCGGCTTTAACACCAGCAGGGAGGAGTGTCAGGGAGGTGAGTCAGTGTCTCGGTCTGTTAGTTGGACTGTTTGTTCCAATGAGCTGCGCACACGTGAGATGATGAGATCTTAAAGTACCTGTGACATCAAATTTTAGTAATGAATGCTTTTTGGAAAGACAACTTTTAGAACATTTTGCTGAACAAATTTCAAGCCGCTGAGAGGGTCAGTTGTTGAGATATTTGCATGTGAACTCACAGGAAGTGATGTCAAAGGCTGTGTCCAAAACGACAGGCCGGGTCCTCCAGAGGACCCAGACTACCCGGTCGCGGCGGGCCGGGTCCTTGGTAGACCGGGAAGAYCGGAAAAAAAGAGGCTGTGAATTTGGACGGTCTAGCCTCCCCTCCTTACCCTGCCGGCGTACGTCWTGTCACCTAGCAACTGTGACAACGCTAAACAAGCAAACTTAAATCAAAATTAGAAAAATATCAATACATTAGCATTATTAATATCACAAAACTATAAAATTAACTTAAAAGTATCATTTGAAGAACTAATTGACCCGCTGTGGGTTCATGTTTATTTCACGTTTTTATGACGAAAAAATAATATTTAAAAACATGTCCATACAAATGATAAAAGTATTAGAATTACAACCGCTAAATTTTAAAAATTTTTAAATCACCATATTTTTATTTAAATGTATTCTTTTCTCTCGCTTCGTCCGCCATTACTAGCTTAAAAAAATCTCCGGTCGGGCCGCAATGCATTATGGGATAYGCTGGGCCGGGAAGGATCCATCAGACCTGTCCTTCGATTCGGGCCAAAGGAAGGACGTATTTGTCGGACGAATCGGAGGAGTCTTCGGTTTTGGACGTCCTTCGTCGCGGCGCTGTGACGTATGCGGCCGTCAAATTCGACCTTCGCAGGACCCGGCCTGTCGTTTTGGACACAGCCAGAGTGTTACTAAAATAGCTAACAACATAGACTCTAGAGAAGAGTTGGATATTTCTTTAAATAATTTTGAGTCACTATCACAGAGAGATGAAGAATAGTCAGAGTTCAAATAATATTGTTTCAATAAATAAAAACAGAGAGTTCCTTTTCTTAAAGAGCTCCCCTTTGATGTCACTTCCTGTTTCACTTTCGCTGAGTCAAAATCAAAAGAAAACATGACAGTTATGTKACAAAATGAGTAAAATTGTATGTATTACGCCAAGGTTCTTGAATATAAAGAGGTTTTCTTTCACTTTTTGTATTTGAAGAATATGCATGGTACGTGCATGTACTTGATATACTCGGTTTTACACACTTTTGTCTATGGAGAGAGGTTAAAACTTGATAAATATCCTTCCAACTCTCATTAGAACTCTAGCAGGAGTGTTTTGGATAGACTAGACTTCTTAAAAAGTCAAGTTGAGATTTAAAGAGTTAAAGAGTTAAAAACAGTTACAGTAATCCAGCCTAGATGTGATAAATGCATGGATCAGTTTTTCCTGTCAGTTTGTGCCCTGTACCTGCAAAATCTCTCCTCAGTTTTTATTATGCCACCTTTTTATTTTTCATACTTCTTCATTTGCACTCACAGCTTCTTTTTTTTCTGTCACAAATGTGCCCCCCCCCATCTTTTCTCTCTACAGCGTGCCAGGAGGCGTATATCAAGCTGCTGGAGCAGGAGGCCTGCAGCACCGGCTGTGCCAGCCAACCCTCTGAACCTGAGATCAAGAGGAGGAAGGTGGGAAAAGGCCTCTCTTCACTTGATCCACTCACACACAGACACACAATGTTAATAGTCAGTGTGACTCAGTGTGTCTAAATAATAATATTAGAGGCACACAGGAGCTGGTTTAAATGCCGTCGTCGTTTTCTGTGTAATTAAATGACCCAATCTCTCTCCCCTCTCCAGCTGAAGGCCATGACTCTGCGCCCAAAGCCCCCCTCCGTGATGGAGGCGGTGTCCAGCTGGTGCAATGACATCGTCAGCTCTGCTCAGAGCTTCATCTCCTCGACCTGGACCTTCTACCTGCAGGCCGACGATGGCAAGGTCGTGGTTTTCCAGGTACGACACGGCCAGTTGGAACGCTGAAAATGCTTGAAACTCAGTCTGATGAGGACAAGAATGGCTTTTAAATGTCAGTTTTTTTATTTTATTTAACCAGGTAGATCTCGTTGATGTTAAAAATCTCTTTTTTTTTCTTTTTTTGACACCAAAAAAAATCTCTTTTTCAAGAGAGACCAGGCCAAGAACGGCAGCAACACACAGACATTACAAAATTCAAAACTACAGATATTAAAAACTACAATCAAATACCTCATGATAAATTAAAAAAATATAAAAACAAGAAACACTCATAAAAGGTAAGATTGGACTAAAATAGAGTACAATGAGTTGAGTTCAGGTCCACACTGTGAGGTTAAYGCATCAGACTGAAAATGAGCTAAAGCTTAGTCTCAATCCTCTGCTTTAAAAAATTATTTACTAATGTCCATCTGTGAGCTCCATGAGGCAACTCAWCTGTATTTTATTTTATTTTATATGAATATCCAGAGTTTATTTTCTACAGGGCTTTTGGGTAACTGAGTATTTTTTTGTCATTTTGACCCTAGAAAGACTATTTTCCAGATATGTGGGTTTAAAAAATGTTAACTTCAACATCAACCTTGATTTTTATTCATCACATGGTTTTAATTGGGGCTTAAAGCGTATAGATTATTTGAAGAGTTAACCTCTGTGTCCTGATGAAAAAGAAAAATCTGTCCTCAGCGTTTTAGTTCTTTGGAGCTTGAGTCAGAGCCAATCGATGTACAGCCCACTGGAGTTGAGTGAACAAGGGCACACAGCGAGGCGGAGTAAAGGTGGCTGAATAATGAGAGCAATTTCTTTTATAGCACTTCCAATAAATGTTCTGTTAAATGATGTCATACCCCTTAATCACATGCACAAGTGATAATCTTACCAGGCCAAACTGTGGCAAAGTCACATTAGGATGGAAACACTAAAAGATTTAACGGTGAAGTAATTAACGCCTGAGTCTCACTGGACTCAAACTGGTGACAAACTGAAACGGTTGCAAAGATTCTTAATTTACTCATGTGGCCTCGCTCTCATGTCCCAGGGTTTTTGAACATAAGAAAACCGATTAGTTTTTTAAATAGTTAGAGTTGATGCAGGCAGCCATCTTGAACTTTTCGACAGGAAGTGCAGGAAAACTTAGGTGGGATTTGGCAAACTATGGCGCCAAATTGTAACTTATTGTAGATTAAAAAAGGGAGAATGAACTGTACCAAATGAAGACACGATGGAGACATAATTAACTTTCAATTCAGTTCAGTTTATTTAAATAGCTCCAAGTTATGACGAACGTCGTCTCAGGGCACTGTACAAAAAAMARTCAATCTTGAATTCATCTGTCTCCCATCCTGAGCAGCACATTGGTGACAGTGGGAAGGAAAGACCCTTTTTAACAGGAAGAAATCTCCAGCAGAACCAGAACAGTACAGGCGGCCAATCKTCCTCGACCGGCTGGGTTTGAGAGGACTGGAAAGAGACACAAAAACACTGAAGGACTGGTYCAGGTGTATTTTCCTCTGGAAGACAGACAAAAAAACCACCCTAATTATCGATATAAATAATAACAACAACAAGCATTTAGCAGAGAGTGACTAAAGACAGCAACAGAGTGAGGAAATGTGGTCAGTTTGTGCTCCAGCAGTCTGAGAGTGTAGCTGCAGAACTTAAGGATAACTCGTGAAACCATCCCTAACTATAGGATTTATCAAAAAGGAAAGTTTCGACATGGATGTATTATGTACTTTCCAGGCTCATTGTTCAATTCTATACCACAATCAAGTAACTATGTTACTTTCAGTTGTTATGAAAATGTTGTATATATCAAAACTAAATTCGACGTCACATCATAGCCTCTCTAAATGCCTTGAAATTTACATCTGTCTCTTTAAAACCTCCTACCATTTCTGACACTCCCACTTCAGCAAATTTTCACAACAATGCTTCGGGGGAGGGGTGCTAGAGACTGAGCTCCAGGGRGKAGCTTTTGGTAACACATTTTTGATAAGAGAATGACATTATAACATGATATTAACACTCAAAAAAGTTAATTTACTTAAGCCTAGTCTTAAAAGTAGACAGAGTGTCAGCCTCACGGACAGAAACTGGAAGTTGGTTCCACAAGAGAGGAGCTTGATAACTGAAAGCTCTGCCTCCCATTCTACTTTTAGAAAACCTGCAGTCTGAGAGCGAAGTGCTCTGTTAGGAAAATATGGAACAATAAGACCTTTAATGGAGCTCGGTCGTTGAAGCTTTGTACGCTAGAAGTAATATTTTAAATTCTATTCTRAATTTGACAGGGAGCCAGYGGAGAGAAGCTAAAACTGGAGAAATATGATGTATGTGATGACAAGTAAAGCTCCATGTTGCTTCAAGTTTAGATGATGGATCCCCGACTTAATGAATGTTTGCTGTTTGCGGCAGAGACATGCAGAATAACACAGCGAGGGGGAGGCCAGCCTCAGAGGGGCAGCGAGGAGACGATCGGGCCTATGTTTAGTGGGCACGCTCACCGGGTGTTAAAATAACCAAAAAGTACCATTTAATTGAAGGACGGGAAACGAGGAGGGAACATGGCAGCGCTGTCTGAAATACAAATTATGTGTTGAGAATATGAGCACAGCCTCAASAATTTTAAAAAGTAGGTGGCTCACATCAAACCAGGGAGCAGTTTTTAGAAGCTGGTAAAGTTATAAATCTTTAGCTCACAACAAAGAAAAAAAAAGAACTGCCATTTTTAGGCGATACTTATAAAAACATCATTCTGCCCGTGTATTTTCCTTCTCACTTTGTCAGCTCATTTGTATGACTTTTTGAAAGTGTTTATGACTAAATTTAATCCATTTAACATTGTTGCTAACAGAGCTGTGGTGTGTTTGTGAGCCTGATGAGCCTGTTTGTTCTTGGTAAACACAGCATATCAGTCACTCTGATTGGAGGAATTTTAGAAGCAAAAGGCTGAATTAAGTGGAAAAGGTGATGTTGTCTTGGTGCAAGGATAGTGACTCAGTTTTATATAAAGTAGATTAGATGCTGCCCAAGTCTTGGTTTATCCAGGCACCCAGATAKATGTTGATTGATTTTTCTTTCTGATACCAGTACCAACTTTTACAAATCASTTCAGATCTTATATGAGCAAAACATTTTGTCCAGAACTTTTTTAGTTTGTTTATTCATCCACATTAGGGTTGGGTTGTATTGTGTGCAATTAACGGTCAGAAAAACTGTCACAGATTAAAAATACTACTGCTGCTAACGCTGCTGAAGATGATGTTTGTATGGATGGTGCCTGTGGTCTGACAGTTTGAAGTGCAGCTCAGACACCAGCCGCTACTGCAAGTTTGGTGTTTTTAGGGAAGCGTTAGCAGTGTTAGCAGCATTAGCAGTGTTAGCAGCGTTAGCAGCATTAGCAGTGTTAGCAGTGTTAGCAGCATTAGCAGTGTTAGCAGCATTAGCAGTGTTAGCAGCATTA